AGCTTCCCCTCCAGGGAACACAGTGAAGAATTCTACAGCAGTGTCCCTGACCAGAGTAATGTGAGTGAACCAAAATTAGCCTTTTTACAAGCTCATTAGAGCATAAAGGTTAGCATCCATTGCCCAAAATATAACAGGAAGGCGAAAGGCTCTTTTCTTTCTTTTTCTCCCTGCTTACTCACACTTCCCTTCTTTCCACCATCTCTCTCTTGACAGGCAATAATCAAAGCGGGATTTCGGATGGGTGAGTATCTTTTTCACAGTCAAGTAAACTCAATCAAAGTTCCTGAGAAATCCACTGTGAGTAACTCAAGGGACAATGCAGAATTCTTAGGTGGGGGGCAGATGCACTGTCTTGCTACTCAGTCCTAAAGTTTTCACGTTAAAATAATACTATCCTTAGGAGCCAACAACTTGCTGACCCAAATTGTTGCTTCCTAGGAAGCAGACAAGTGAGTAACTGATATAACTGGGTTTGTTTTGTTTTGTTTGTTTTTAAAACAGACTGTCTTATGGAAACGGACTATATTAACTATACATTTTCTGCATAGCACTTCTAAATATACAAAGTATTTTCACACTTGCTTCATCATTACCCCACCCAGTGATGCAGGTCTTTCTATCCCCACTTTACAGAAGAGGGAACTGCAGCTTAGAGACACAGACGCGGGTCTCCCAGCTCCATATAAATGGTCTATTTATTACTCTTAACCTGATGGATTCTCTCTTGTGCTTTTCCCCAAGCTTATCAGTTGGTATTATGGGAATTTTCCCAGCTTGCTTTGTGAGGGGGTTCCCACCCTGGTGATGGGGCAGTACTTAAAAGTTGTTCAGTTGATAGTACTCAGAGTATCAGAGCCAGAAGGGGTTGTAGAGACCATTTCCAAAACTCCTCATCTTACCAGTAAGAAAACTGAGACCCACAAAGGGAGCTGACCTGCCGACATTCCCAGGCTGGATCCACAAATCCCATTCATGATAAACTGTGACCAGGAGCGAGCCTCCCGGCTCTTCCATCCCCATCCCACCATCTCACAACCTCTCTTGAGCACAGTCCTCACAATCAAAGCAAAGAGGAAAGCAAAGGTCAGGACTTGGCTGAGATCAGTCCCCAACCTGTACTTGTTTGATGAAATGGAAAGATCCCATCAATTATGGAATCATGAACTACCAGGAGGAAGGCAGCTTGGAAATCATCTGGTAGAATCCTCTGGTTTTGTAGGTGAGAAAAGTGAGGTGCAGAAAGGCAAACGGAGCCCCTGGAGCAGAGACTTGAACCCATGTCTCCGCGTCCCCAGTCACTGACCCCACCTCTGTAACCTCAGCTGTCTGCAGTGTCGCGTGCTGTTCGCCCAGTTTGTCAGACTGTCCAACTTAAAAATTTCCAGACACAGGTACCTGACTCAGCCCTGGTTTTGCCTTGGCAATGGAGATCAGGCATCAGCTGCCGGCTTGAATGATGTGTTCCCCCAGCAACATGGCGAGTGTGAGCTGCCAACATTGAAGTCTCAGGGAACGTTAAGTGTTGAGCCAGTTAAATATCCAAAAATGCCCTGTCTCTCAGAAACAAGGGTGACTCATCGGAGTGCTTCGGCTATGACTGGGAATGGCATTATAGTGGCCAGAGGAGCTAAAAAACTCATGCTCACAAGCCTCCAGCTTCTCTGCCCCTGGCCCCTTGCTCGCAGCTCTCTTCTCCAACTTAGAGCCCAAACACCGCCCCCAGGAAGCCCAGACCCCCTCCTCGCTGAAGACGTGACTATTCAAACCTGGAGAAGGTCTCCCTCCCTTCTCAAGCCCTGAGAATCTGTTCTATATAATTGAGCACTTGATATTATACTGTCTTTTATTCCTTCTTAATCGTTTTGAGTGTTTGTTCCATAGCTGCATGGATTGCAGATGCTCCGAGGGGAAGAAGTAAGCTTCCTTACTTCTGTCACTGCAGAGCAGAGACATGCTCAGGCTCACAGCTACCCCTGGCTTCAAGACCCTTTCCACTTTACCTTGCCTTCACACACACAGCAAATGCGCAATAAATCCTCACTTGTTTCCCTGTGGCTTCAGCATTTTCAAAGATAGTTCGGCAGCCAGAGCCTCTGTCAGCCCACACCAAGCCTCTGTGCAAATCAGGGAAAATTCCTTCCTCCAGGCAGACACAGCCCTGCCAAGCTGCATGGCTCTGGGGAGCATGGCTGGACCTCAGCCCTTCAGCTGGGCGTCCCATGCAGTGAGCCCCCTGCACCACCCGGGCTCTGGTCCCTCACGAGGGCGGCAAGCAGATCTCACTGGCTTAGGCCCTCCCCCGCTCTCCATTCTGACAGGGGCACAGGGGCGGACTTTCCTGGGAAAACTGGCATCAGAGGCTTCCCCAGCTTACTTCCCAGACTCTTCTCTGTCAAAACCAAGCAAGAACAACAGAAAAAGTCCCCCTTTGAGAGCTCCTCAGTACTCAATGGACTGAAGTCTACACTATGGGCAGGGTACTTGGGGCCCCTCTCCAATAGGGTCCCAACCTTCCTTCCCTGTACCGAAGACCCAGAACTCACCATGGATTGTCCTCCTACTCTGCCCTCAGCCTAGAGGGCCCTTGTCCTGCAGAGCTTTGTATCAGATCCCCACTCCCCTTTCAAATACAAACCTTACCTCCTCCCTGATGTCGCAATCCAAATAACCATTCTCCTTGGTGCTTCTCCCTAACCCACAGCCCTCCCTGCCTTCCCCATTGCTTTGACCTCTGTTACAACCGTTCCCCCAAATTTTATTAGTGTGCAACCCAATGGTCAGCTGTCTTCAAGCCCTCTGTCCACATAGGCTTCTTGGTGCTCACCCTGCATCAGCCCAGATGCTAAATGCAGCCCAACCCTGAGTTCCCCAAAGGCATCCCCTCACAAACAAGTTGGGGAATATTGCCTTTACAAATGATTGTGTTATAGGAAAGGCGGAGAGCAGAGACTTCATAGCCATACACACACACCCCCACCTTCCTAGCAAACTGTTTACGATTCTCGGCAAGCCCTTCTGTTCTCCAAATCTTTGCTCAGGGAGTTTCTCTCCTCAGTCTTCCTCAGTGAGCTCCAGATCAAGTCAGGCCTCCATACTCTTATCTCTGCATGGTTTCCACATTCCTTGCATCCAATGTATTTCCTTCCTGTTCTAAGAGGCAGAACCCCATACTTGCAAGCATGCACCCCCAAATCCATCCTGATGCTCAGGCAAATGGAGGCTCTCCATCAGTTCTGCCTTCTTTAGAAAGAGTCAGGAATAGACAGAGCAAAGAATGTTTTTCTTATGACATGCATGTGAGTTTGTTTTCCTCCACAGATAGTGCAGTTCAGAAGGCAAGGAGCGTGTCTTTCACATCCACCCAACCTAGCACTTTGAGAATATACAACGTGAGCCTGTGAGCAGCCTTCTCCTCTAGCGGGGACAGGGACAGTTCTAAGCCCTTTCTGTTTCTCGGTTCTTCTCTTCCCAAGGAAAGCCCAGGACTAGAGTCAAAGGAAAGTGCCTGAAGACACAATAGAAGCTTAACAGATAGTTGTGAAATGAATGAGTCAGTGAGTCAAAGGGAAACCAGATAAAAGAAAAACGTCAAGAGCACCCTCACTAGGGTTGTAACAGTCTAGCTAAAGGGAGCATTGAGAACCAACCAGGGGTGATAGAATGAAATGAGAATAAAGAGTGATAGGGTGAAGTGTGAACACGGGGTTCCGGTGTTGGCTCTGCCTTCCCTGCCACGTGGAACCTTGGGGAAATCTCTGAAGCTCAGTTCCTCATCTGTCCCATCAGCCTGCCTGCACACGGTCTAATATGGACACTGATCACCAGGGTGCTCAGAGCTGTCTGACATTCATGTTTGAGTCTTGTACCCCAAATGCCCAGACACCCAAGGCCCCTTGGCGCCTCCGCATCTGCAGAAAGTTTTTCTTGGCTGCAGTCCTGACCGGGGGACCTTCACTGCCTGCTGGCGGGAAAGAATTCTCAGTTGTGGAAAATGGTAAACTCTACATATTTTACAAATGAGAGTCCAAACTCCCGATGACTCTAAATGTGGTGTGAAATGGACAGAAGTCATCCTGCTGGTATGACATGCCTGAGATAGTGTCACTCCCACCACCACCAACCCATGCGGACAGGCACGTCCGGGAAAAAGAAGCAACAAGTCAGGGTGCCTTGGCCAGTGTTGGCCTTCATCCCTAACCCCTGACCCGCAGCCCCTTTTCTGTGCTTTTCCACATTTTTAAAGAACAGACTGCTGCGCGGGAAAACTGTCCAGAGCCGCCTAAAAGCAAAGGAGAAAGGGAATTAACAGCTCTCAGTCCTGAAGTGTGATCCGGCCAGCGCCGGCGGGATGCGGTGGTCCCCACCATACCTGCGGAGGGGGAAATCGTTTCAGATTGAACAGTCACCAGTCTCCTGCCACCAGGGCCAGAGCTGTCAGATAATGTGCCCGGGGCGGGGAAGCGATTTGTAGGTTAGAGACATTGAGTCCCCAGGAAACGGAGAGAACTTGTTGATTTTTAATTTGCATTTTTTCCCCTCTGATTTGGTCGGGATCTTAAGGCAGCCTAGACTTCGGTTGAGATGTGGAAATGCCCAGTGGGTATTCGGTTGGTCAAGCAGTTGTCCTCCGTTCCCGGAGTCAGCGGGCCTCTGGCGCCCTGAGGAGCCCAGCACTGCTGCGTCCTCCCCAATCCCTAAGCCTCTGACTCCTCCTCCCGGACCGAAGCTCCATCAGGGAGAAGTGCCCGAACCGCGCGGCGCCCGCGCCCAAGTTACACCAAACGGACGCGGGCTCGCAGCGAGCGGATCCGCATTCACGCGTGTGCGGAACGCGCGCGCGCGCGCGCGTGTGTGTGGCGCGTGTGTGTGCGCGCGCGCGCGGGGGTGCGGGGCGGGCTCTGCGCCCGGGGGCAGGGCTCCGCGGGAGAGTGGCAGGCGGACTCGCCGGGCGGCTAGGGGCGGGGCGCCGCAGTGCCGTAGTAGCGGGCAGCCGGGACGCACTGCTTGGGAGGCGCGGGTACGCGGGCAGGCGCAGGACCCCGGCTCTGCCTCTCCCCAGCACCGCCGCCCCAGCTCCGCGGCGCCCTCTCGGGCTGCCCCCCTCCTGGAGAGGGCTGCGCTGGCGGGAAGGCGGCCAGACCACAGCCTTGGTCCCCCTGCTGTCTGTCGGTTCCTCTTTCCTCCCAAGTAAGGGAATAAGCCCCGAGGAAGGAGCGCCCCGGGGAACCGCGCAACCAAGTGTTGCATGGTGAGGTAAGACGGCCGCCGGCGCAGCGGAGGGGGCTCGGGCTCGCGGGCGGCCGCAACTTGGAAAAGGAGGGCAGAGCGGGAGCCCGTCGCGCGGCCAGGGAAGGGAGCCGCGGGCGAGGCCCCTGTGCCCACCCTGGCGCTGCCACCTGCCGCAAAGCCCCTGCGGGAGGAGATGCCCCGCTGGAAGGCTGAGGACGCGGGAGCGGCACGGGTGGGGCAGCGGCTCCCTCTCCGACTGGGAAGATCTTCCACACCCCAAAGGTGTGCGGGCGGGAGGCAGCTTTGCTCCGGGCACTTGGCTCCAGCCACTGACCAGATTTTCGCCTTCTAGACGCACCTTGCCTCCTTGGTAGCCAGTTCGCGCGCCAGGGTGCCCAAGGGCGGCGAGGAGCGGGGACACTTTTCCTAACGTCTGGCCGCCAAAGCCTCTGACCGTCCCGCGGGGTTCCAGACTTTGGGACAGTCCGCAAAGCCGCTGGGCTAGGGGAGCTTGAAGGGAGGCTGGAGAGAACACTGACACCTTGACAAATACGAGCTAGGGAGGGAGAGGAAGGTCGGGAGAGCACATAAAGCTGACCTGTTTAGTGACCGAGTCACGACATGCGTGTCCGTGTGTGTGTGTGTGTCTTGAAGGGCGAGCATCTAGTATCACCTGTGGGGCTTTCCAAAACTCCACTAGGCCACCTCACCCTGCATATTCTGACATTTTCTTCCTCTGGATGGATGGACTAGAATTTGCGGAGGGGGCCGCGGAGTTCCGGAAAGCCCTACAGGTGACTCTGCTGCGCCGCCCCCACCCCCGCCATCACTGCAGTGGGAAGCCTGGGACAGGAGCGAGGAGGCGTCTCCAGATGTGAGCGATCCAGCGGCGGAACTGAGAGTGGCGGGCACGACTCCCCCTCCCCGCCGCCGAGGGTCTGCGGCAGCGCGCGGTGATGTGTGGCTGCACCGCAGTGGCGCGCGGGAGAGCTGAGAACCCGCCGACGCGCTCGCGGCCAGGCCCGCTCCTCCCGCTGCATTAGCATACGATGACCTCGCCGTCCCGCGAGGGCCCGGCAGCGCTGTTTGTCGTTCTTTCATTTCGGGGTCTGGGGGCACGCGCCTTGGGTTTGGAGGTGTGGACCGGGGGTAGTCACTGATGAGGGGCATCGGTCAGGACACAGGGCTGGGAACGGGCCCTCTGGTTCAAGTGGGGAGAATGAATCCGGGATTTCGGTGCCTGGGATGCTTTTTGTAAAATACAGCCCCCCAGAGCCACTTGCTGGAGCACAAGGCACCCTCGTTGTCAGTGAAGGACGTTAGATCGTAAGGGCAGTTGTCATCACGGTTTGGTCACGTACTTACACGCACACACCCCTACCTTTGTGCTTTATGATCCTCTCATTCCAGGGATATGTCCTGATTAACGTGGGAAGGGACTTCGCCGCTCGACGTGTTACAAAGGACTGTATTTGCCAGAGAGTCCGTTCTGAATATAAATTATACGCATTAAATAAAGCAGGTGCAACTAAGCTAACTTCCCTGCTGTACCCCTGGTCTTAAGTCTTCTCTTTGCCAGTCACCCTTAACATTTATGTGTCTGTGTAGCGTTTATGTGTAGCACTGTAGGCATTATCTCAGGTATTTTTCTGGGAGGGGTGCAAGTAGATGAGTCTTTCCCACCTTACACTTTTTTTAAAAATTTAATTTAATTTTGTTATGTTAGTCACCATACAATATTGTATGGTCACCTTATACTTTTAGTTCAGTGTTTGGTTCAGATCAATCAAGATCTGGGAAGAAAAGGATAAATATCAGAGCATCTTGGAATCTAGACTCTTAGAGATACGAGAAACCACTAAGGACACCAGTTCCGATTCCCCCACCAACTCTCCACAGAGCACTTTCAACAGGTGGCACCCAGAGGTCCCAGCTGTGCACTCTGAGGCTCTGCCAGGGGAACAACCCTTCCTGCTGATCCCTAGGGGAGGAGGCTGCCCCCAGCTCCTGCTTTGGAAGAAGGGAGAGTTGTGGTAAAATTCTTTAAAAACATCTTACTGTCTTCCATCATTACATATATCTTTTTAGTGTAAAAGTAATTCGAGTGGAATGAAAAAAATTAGGGAAGTTGGAAAGTGTGCAAAGAATCAAACCAACCACCCACAGTTCCACCACCCAATTTTCTCACTGTTACTATATTGGCATATTTCTTTTCTATCCGTTTTTTGCCTTGAAATCATATAACCTATAGTGAGCCTACATTTATTGAGTATCTACTAAATGTACGTTTTAGGTGCTAAGTATTTTATATTCATTGTGTCATTCAATCCTCAGAAGACTCTCTGAGGCAAGCATTATAACCAAAGCCACAGAGTTCAGGGGACTTGCCCCTGCCACACAGCTAGTGATTCCTTCGCCCGGAAGGCCAGGGGGATGCTCGGGTGGTGTGGTTTGGTCACATGAGGCCCTGGTCTATTTGAGTCTTTAGAGGTCACCTGCTTTGACTACGGCAGAGCAGTGTAATGGAAGTGTAAATTAGTGTAGCCTTTTCAAAAAGCAGCTTGTCCTATATATCAGGAGCCTTGAAACTTTCATGCCCTTTAGCCCAGTGATCCTGCTTCTGGGAATCTATCCAAAGAAAGTATTTGGGAAATGTATGCAGCAGGGATGTTGTGCAGAGTTATTTGTAGTTGCTAAATGACTGACAGTGTAATAATACACAGCCATGAAAATGATGTTCGCCAAGGACTTTTGCTACAACACTAACTGAGGGGACAGGGAGAGCAGAGAAGCAATAGTTACAGAGGCTAGGCAACCACTCAGGACTCAGCCTGGGTTTAAATCCTGGGTCTTACATCATCCAGCTGTATACACACACACCTGTGATTATGGAAACTATACAGTATAGAGCCGTACCTGCTTTTATGTGAGCAACTGTCAGTGGCAGAATTCTCTGGCTAGATGTCACATATCAGCTTTGGGCAAATCAAAAATCGTGTAAAATATACAAATGTTCGTAAGATCCCACTGCTCCATGTAAGTAATTAGAATAATCCTTACTCCTATTAGAGTGCATCACTGTCACAGCCAGATGCAGCCAGTCCAACCAATCCATAACAGCTTCTTCATGTACTGGCCATATTCACAGAGCCTTTTGTTTATACCAAGGAAAAGAATTCCGCATCAAAACCACAGTGCGAGTTGATGTCACCTTATGTGTAACAGACTTCTTCTGCCTCCCTACCCCCCACCAAATCAGTTACGGTTAGTGACTACTGATAAAGCAATAAAAAGTAAGGTTATATACAACATCCCCCAAAAATGCTCCCAGGTGAGAAGATACGGCTGCAGAAGAGAAATGAAATTAAGCAATACAAAAAGACACAAAGGGGAACTGTTTGAAGACAAATTGGCCCTAGGCTATGAGTTTTCCCTAAGACAGTGTTTGCCCCATAGCCGCCTCTGCCACCGGCACTGGGTCTCATGGCCCTGGAGTATAACCTGTTGTTGTAAATTGAATAAATATTCATTGAGTCCCCTCTCTGAAATCTATTCAGGACTCTGCTCAGATCTTAAGCCATCCTTCTGGGAAGCCCTCCCTGACTGCTCATCTGGGTTAGAGACCTCTCTCTGCCTCACCCATAGCACCTGTGCATACACTTCCCTCACTAGGGTGAAATCACTTCTCTGCATAGCCCCACTAAGCTGTGAGCTCATTGAAGGTACAGCCGTCACCATGGCCGCAGCACCTGAGATAGAACTTTTGCACCACAATTAAATGTGGCGAACGAACAAATAAGAGAATTTTCCAGGTACTGTACTGTGTGCTTTTTGTGCGTTTGTCTTTCCATGTATCTTTTTTTTTATTATGTTATGTTAATCACCATACATTACATCATTAGTTTTTAATGTAGTGTTCCAGGATTCATGGTTTGCGTATAACACGCAGTGCTCCATGCAGAACGTGCCCTCTTTAATACCCATCACCAGGCTAACCCATCCTCCCACCTCCCTCCCCTCTAGAATCCTCAGTTTGTTTTTCAGAGTCCATCGTCTCCCATGGTTCGTCTCCCCCTCTGATTTACCCCCCTTCATTCTTCCTCTCCTGCTATCTTCTTCTTCTTCTTTTTTTTTTTTTTTAACATATAATGTATCTTTATTTGCTCAGACTAGGCAGCCTCAGAAATGTACCAGGAAAGTATCTAGAGCTGTGCTGTCTATGTCCACATGGGACTATTTCCATTTTCATTTAATTCATTAAAATTAAATAAAACTTAAAGTTCCATTCTTCAGTCACATCAATCACATTTGTAGTATGTAAATGCCACATACGGCTTCTGGCTACCACGTTAGAAAATGCATGTGTAGAACATTTCCATCATGGCAGAAAGTTGATCTGGATGGTGCTGGTTGGATTGTGAGCTTGGCGGGGGCAGGGGATGTGAGTCCACCATATTCCCTGCAACCAGCACAGTACCTGGCCCAGGAGGAGGATGGGAGCGGGGAGGAAGAAAGGGGAGGGATAGTGGTAGTAAATGGAGTAGTAATATTAGGTATACTATTTATTGGGCTCCTACTTTGTGCTCCACATGGTGCTATATTTTGTATATGCATTGTCTCACTTAATCTTCACATCTCTCTGAGCCTGGTATTAACCCTGTTGTACAGACAGGAAAACTGAGTCTCAGGAAGTCTAAGTAAGTGCTCACGAAGCTAGTAGGAGAGGCTGCGTTTTAACTCCGAGTCTGGAGATTTCAGACCTGCTGTCTTAGGCCTTTTTCTTTTCCTGCCTCAGTAAATGTCGTGTGTGGTATTGTGGATGTGAACTGCCATCAGCTTGACTTCCCATGGAGCCAAAGAAAGGGTATTTTTGAAGGCTTCCCAAGGGAAATAATTGGTATAATTTGCGAATGTTAATGGCATTTCAAGAGTGCAAAATTTTGCTGGGCGCTCCAGAGGCCTTGTCCCTGGATGAGTGACAAGGGAGAAAGGAACCCACCCACAGCATGGTCTGACCAGAGGGC